AGCAGGAAGTATAAAACAAGTCCTATATAGGTAGTGTTACTTTCAGCAACTTGAAGAGAAACAGCTAGTGCTTTGAACATTCAGAAAGACAGTTCAGAGTTTTAAATTAAGTGTATTGGCTGGATATTTTGGGCTTTTAAAAAAAAAAAAAAAAAAGGTGAATAGTTGTGCTGATGATTTTAAATTAAATACAAAACCCCTGTGGTGAAAACATATTAAAGTGATAACTTTCAGGAGCCAGCAGATTCAGGAAGAAAGCTTTACATTTCTTCTACTCTATACAATTTAAAGTCAGGCCGAAACAAAAATAGCATTTAAGAAAAATCATCCAGCAAGAAGAGATTACAGGACAGATTCTGTGCCTAGAAAAGAAAAGAATACATAGGATCTCTTAATAACAGGTGGTCACAATCTTCTCTCTCTACAGTAAACAGGCAGTCAATTTTCCACCAAATTACTTCACATGAGATTAACATTACATAGAAAAAAGGGAGAAGTGCAGAACCATTCAAGCATCACAATTTTTCTGGGTTCCTCTTTGCTTTCTCCTGCTGCAGTGAAGTAACAGTGTCACTCAGCTGGACATTCTTCCTCGGCCCTACAAATCTACACCCCCTCCTGATCGACAATATTTGTACTAGTAGTAGCAGCCTGTGGCCCAGTAAATGCAGCATGGTCATTGCTAGTAACAGGCCACAGGCTCAATATGAAGCTAACACCACAAGCCTCACATTTGTCAGGCTTTGTCTGGACTTCATTTGCTTGGAATGTTCTTTTAGCTCATTTAGCTGCAACAGTAATTGTCTAGTGACCAGGTGATTATCACCTAATTTGCTTTAGTTTTGCTTAGATTTGCATAGATGTGTGGTGTACAGCCTCTTGTGAACAGTTTTGATATACGCAGGAACACCAGCTAGCTAAACTGTGCAAGAAAGAACTACCTATGACTACAGGATATGATGCAGCATAAAGTAGTACAGGCATGGGCTGACAGCAGATATCTTGCAGGTGTGGACCCAGGAGGATATCAGAGACACCTCAGCAACTCACCCGTGGTGGTTAACTGTACTGTAAAGGTC